CCTTGCACCCCCCACTCTCTGATTGGTCAGCTTCAGAGCTCAGTGTTCTGAGGTAAAAACAACAGTTACAGGAGATTGCAGAGAGCTCATAACAGTTGAGGAAATCAGGAATGGCCAACAGCCACCTGTGAGGTGCAGTAATGCTGCTGGCCCAGCCTCTCTGATGGCTTCCAACACACTCCCCCCACCTCCTACACCAAACAGGCAGTTGTCTGTCAGGTGCAGCCCCACCTCCACCGTGGCTTCTAATGCCCCTCCACCCTCCCCCTCCTACACTGGACAGGCAGCTGCCTGTCAGGTGTAGGAGAGGAGGTGGGATGCTTACAACTGCCAGGGAGGTTTGCTCAGGAGGATTGCCTTAGCCCTTCTTCTGGCCTAGCCTCCGAGATGCCTTTAAATACAAGCCCCCCCAACACCAGACAGGCAGTGCCAGAGAATCCACCCTTCAAGGTAGCCATTTTCTCCAGGGGAGCTGATCTCTGTCAGCTGGAGATCAGTTGTAAAAGCGGGAGATCCCCAGGAACAATGAAGCCAAAGAAGAATTTTTTTTTGTATTACTAACAGTCTAACATACTAATGAAAACATCACTCGACCTTTTCTTTACCCCTCTATATACCCTCCCCCCTTTCTAATATGAAAAGCAATAAAATTCTCTCCTTTTTAGGAGAGTTTATATAATAAAAAAAAGAATTCCTACAACAAATATATTTCAAACTTTACATCATCAGTATTATAACTGGATTTATGGAAGTTAAATACTGTAGCGAAGCATGGGTATCAGGCTAGTATTCTTATATAAAATGGGCAAAGTGTTCCTTGCACTTGCAAGGCAATAAATAAATAAATCTACCTCCTCCCATCTCAGTAAAAAAGAAATCAGTTCTCTTTTTAAAATTATGAGCCAGTATCCCTTGAGAACTTGTGTGCGTGGGTAAGAATTTAGAAATCCTACTCCATCCCCAAAATCTCCCAGGATTCTGTAAGTGGCTTGAGCAGACTGCCTCCCTCCCATTTCCTCTTTTTGACTGACACTGCTGCTCTTCACATCCCATCCCTTCTGGGAAATATTAGCAGTGCAATCCTAAGAAGAGTTACACCCTTCTAAGCCCATTGACCTCAATAGACTTAGACGGGTATAACTCTATTTAGGATTGTGTTGCTAGGCCATTTTGTGACAACAAATTGCGCACCGGACGGTGTCACTAAGGTGCTGTTCTGGGATTGCCACTCCTTTGCCATTCGAGACCCATTGAATCCCATGAGGGTGAAAATTGGAATATATCCTGCAGCCACAAATGCAAAACCATTAATTTTCAATACTGCACAGTTACTTTCATTTTTGAGAATGGTGTAAGTTCCAAATCTTTCCCGGAGCATAACTCCCCTGTAGTGATACTGCATACAGCAGTCCCTGATGTGGGCTCGTCAAATGATGGCACATCCCACCTGCAAACACTATAGGCATACCTAGGCATGTCCTCCAGTGTTCGCATTTCAGTGCGTCTTTCCTCATCTGCAATTACAGCTGAGGATCCAACCAGATCATCCCCTTCAAGGGAGCAATCTGCTACGTCCTCGTCACCTTGTTCAAATCCCCATATGACATTCCCACTGATGAGATCCCAATCTACAATGGTTTGATAACACCAAGCCAGCCATGATGGACATAAGGCTTGTGTATCCACCGAAGCACACCATGTCATCTCTGCTATAGGAAACAAAGGTGATCCTCCTACGAGTGGACCCCCTGCTGTTAAACCTCCCCCCATCGACTCTGGGGGCCTTCACAGAAGGGTTCCCTGGTACCTTTGACCATTGACCCATTGACTTCAATAGACTTTGAAGGGTATAACTCTATTTAGGATTGTGTTGCCAGGCCATTTTTGTGTGGGGTTTCCCTTTTTTCTTCTAGCTAATTTGCTAATTCTTTCTTCATACCTGTGTGTTGTGGCGTAGATATATAAAGACTAGCCAGGTGGTGAAGCTTTTAATATTCATGCTTTGTGTCTTTTAGTAAAAATTATCTCTTGTCACAATGTGAAGAATTTGAGTGAAGGGTTTGTTTAACCTTCCTCTTGAGTGGAAAGCTTCTTTTATCATCCACATAGGCCAGCTGGTTTACCATTAGATACAGTGGTTTTATTATGAATAGAAATAGATGAACTGATTCAGGGCTGAGTTTAAAAAATATGAAAAGTTTTAAGGGAAATATATTCTGTAGTTCAGTCTAAAATAAAATTTAATTTCTTATTGAAAATCAGTAATGTGCCGCAACTTTCTGTTTTCAGAATAAATTTAAGCGGGAAGAAAAGGCCAATGGATGGAGAATAGATAAAGCATTCAGTAAGCATTTTTGAATTAAGTATTATCCTAAGTGGAGATTTTTTGGTGTGTCTTTCAGTAAAAATAAGCTAAAATTAAATATTATCTTTTTTACTTTGTAAATGTTTTGTTCAGGACTTGTAGAGTGGAAGGTTTGTTTCAGTGCTAGGATCTCTCAGATGGACTGGGTCAGATATCACCACTATTGAGGATTGTTTAGCTCTTCCTAGTACTATTTAGTTAATGGAATTTTTTTTTTGTCGATGCAAGTCCACTGTGATCCTAAGTAGCTAAACTTTCATCTTAAATCCTTCTGCATTTCTGCATGCATTTAAGGGCCAAACTAGACCTGGCCTCTGTGAAGACACAGCTGCTGCCACCATTTTAAAGTCATTTAAAAATGTCATGAGGGCCCAGTCCTGATTGGGCCTGCAGCATGGCATTCTAACTAGTTTTCCCCACGCCATTTCAAGTGCCAAAATAGCTGCGAGGGGAGGGGGCATGATACTACTGTTTCAGACGTTGAAAAGGCGCCTGGAGTGGGGGGGGGGATAAAAGCTTCTCAGCCTGCTACACTGTAGGCATGTCCAGGATCAGTCTCTTGCAGCGTTTCTAACTGACTTTTAAATGGCAGCAGTATTCTCATGGCAGCCACAAGGACACTGTGACGTCTAGTGTGGATCCTCGTTACCCATTTTTTGTTGCATGAACTTTAATTTGCAAGAGCCTGTGGTATTCTAAAAAAACATAACAAAAGATCATGACATGAATTTATAATTACATTATTTTTTTGTTGGACAGAAGAAAAAAGGCCATTTGATTTTGATTCATTTGCAAAACTTCTCGAGAAAGTCCTGGAAAATGAAAGAAGGAGAAAGACAAATGATGCAAAATGTCAGCATCAAAAAGAAAAAGCAGCCAATGAAACAAAAGTGCCCAAGTCTCAGAAAAAGCGAAAAGGTATTTCTAAAAAATACATAGAGCTATTGCTAAATAATAAATACAACTCTTGATTGTGAAGTCTCCCACCCTTTATGATCTGATTGGGAGTCTTTTGTTCCTTCCCTGTGGATACTTAGTGAGCATGAAATGCGCTGTCTAGTGGTTGCTCTGCAGTTTTGGAATTCCATTCCAGCCTTGCTAAACACTGTCCTTAAGGGTAGGACTTTTTTTGTTATCTTCCAGCCATTTAGTAAGCTAAATATTTAACTGTCAACAGCAGAACACCATAGATTTCTGTGGGATTTTGGCAACTTTTGCTGCTTTGATGGTTTAATTGTTGTATTATCATGATGATTTTTAATGGAAATGTGGTATATGTATTCTTGTGCAAGGTGATTGCACAAGTGGTGACTGGGCAACTTCAGGGATTCCTAAATGAAGCAGACTGTTTGGATCCATTCTAATCTGTTTTCCGGCCCGATGATGGGACTGAAATGGGCTCGGTCATCCTGGTAGATGACCTGTGCCAGGAGATGAACAGGGGGAGTGCGCCCCTGTTAATTCTTCCGGACCTTTTGGTGGCTTTCGATACCATCAATCATAGTATCCTTCTGGACAGCTCTATATGGTTGGGACCAGGATACTTTAAGGACCACTGACTCCCTTATGAATCTACCTGACCACTCTGGTTATCTTCAGAGGCCCTGCTTTGGGTGCCCTTACCATCTGAGTCTACCATCTGGGTGGCAACCTAAGATAGGTTTGGCTGTGGCACCGAAACTTTGGAACTGCTTCCCCAGGGTAATTGGTCTGAGACTTTTTTCCTTTGTTTGGCATTGCTTTGCTAACTCTTACTAGCCCTCCTCTCTGTGTGCGTAGATGTTCGTGTGTTTATATGTTTTGTTTTAAAAATTACACACACGCATACACACACAAAAATAAATAAATAAATGCTATTTTAATGTTTGGAATGTTCATTGCTTTGGGAACCCTGACCTGGGTAGAAGGGCACCATATAAATGTTTTGGATAAATAAATAAATAACTGTTTTACATAGTACAGGAGGGAAATCTAGGTGTTTCATATACAGTCAATGCTGAAGTAGTTTCGTGGTGGAGGGAAAAGGAACAGATGGAATACCAAGCATTTTTGCGTGTTTAATATGGAAAAAGAAGAATCCTATCATTTTTTTTTTAAATTGGGCGGATTATTTTTAGTTTGCTTTTTGCGAACTTATCTGACGGTGTATTTATATTGTATCCTTTGATAGCCAAAGTTACCAATGGACAGCCTAGCCTTGAACAGGATGATCAGAATGCCAATATTTCTGATGCAGAAATGGAAGTGGATTGTGGGACTGCAGAAAAGGAGAATGAAGAGTCTCTTAGCATCTTGGAACAGACTGAAGGGCAGGCAGTAACTGACTCTGTGGTGATGAAAAAGAAAAGGAAAAAGAAAAAAAAGGATTCCGAACAGGATACTGAGAACCTTTCTGAAGGAAAAACTATTCCTTCAGAATCAGTGGAGGGAGAAAGGCTGAGGAAGGAAAGTAAGAATCTAAATTACTTTAGAGTCGGTTATTGCAGAGATATATTTTTATATTACTTATTTTTTCATTAAGTGCAATAGGACTTTTTTTTTACATTTCATGTATCTGTTCTTTAAATTTCACGCATCCCACAAATTACATTTTTAAAATTTTAGGTATCCCATAAATTACGTTCAGGACATATTGCCATAATTAAAGCATTTTTCTCAGAATACTGCAAGAAGTAAGCAAAAATCCAGTTTACCATGAAGAAGAGAAGATTGGATTTATACCCCGCCCTTCACTACCCAAAGGTGTCTCAGAGTGGCTTACAAACTCCTTTCCCTTCCCCTCCCCACAACAGACACCCTGTGAGGTAGGTGGGGCTGAGAGAGCGCTTGACAGAAACTGCTCTTTTTCAAGAACAGCTCTCATCAGAGCTACGGCTTGCCCAAGGTCATCCAGCCAGGTGCAAGTGGAGGAGTGGGGAATCAAACCCGGTTCTCCCAGGTTAGAGTCCGCGCACTTAACCACTACACCAAACTGACATGAAATGTTTGAACCAACCAAATGTTGGCTGACAACAAGAGGAACACTGAACAGTTTTCTTCTTCCTTCCCTTTAGCTTTCATTATTGTAAAACAAAACAAAGAGGTCTGTTCAAAAATGTCTTTTAAAAAGACGTCTGTTCCATATGTATGCTAAAACAGGCATTCGGATATCACTGATCACTTTGGACAATTATGCCTTCATTTTGTAAGTGTGGCTGACCAGTTGAATTAGTGGCTTTGCATGATATATAATGCTTGACCATCTGTTGTCAGGAAACAGTGTATCGTCTAGCCCAAAGAACCATAGTGTTGATGAGACTGGTGAGGAGTTAGAGGTTCCTGATGGGCAAACACTTGAAGATACTCTTTTCCCAGCAGAAGACGATCCGCAGTGCTGCATACAGCTAAATGAAGGGCCAGAAGAAGAGGATAATCTGATTTCATCCAGGTAACAAATTATATCAGGGCTTAATTTAAGTACAGCCGTCCAGTCCAGTACGGCACATTCCCAGCATTACAATTTCCTTTGCGGCAACTGCCTGTATTACAATATGGCATAGTCCCTCTCTATTACATTTGTGACTTAAGCCCACGAGCGGGATACATGACTAACACTGCAGTCCTAAGCAGAATTACGCCTTTGTAAGCCATAAGCTTAGAAGGGTGTAACTCTTCTTAGAATTGCCCTGTTAGCTCCCAGTCTATTCTCATGTCTTGCTGTGCTGTACTCCAGCATGTTAGTGACATTTTCCTTTGTATTTTCAGTGCTTAAAAAGGAAAGGAAGGACATGTATGTACAAAGTGCTGTCAAGTCACAGCTGACTTATGGTCATCCCCCAGGGTTTTCAAGGCAAGAGATGAACAGAGATAGTTTGCCATTGTCTGCCTCTGCATAGCAACCCTGGACTCGCTTGACATTCTCCCATTCTAGTACTAGCCAGAGCTGATGCTGCTTAGCTCCCAAGATGGGGCTAGCCTGGACTGTCTGGGTCAGGGCACTAAAGAGGGATGTAGGAATGTTTAAAACTGTTTTCACTTTAGGATTGGTAGGACTGTCTGCCACAGCTTTAAGACATGGAATAGGAACGCACAGATAAACAACAAATAATTACGCATACTGTGATCTTCTATTTACTTGGTTACTCCCCTCCCAGTTAGAGAGCTGGTGATGATCCTACTGCTGAGAATGTTGGGCGTTAGATTTTGATGTAGATCCCTGATCAACTATTGATTTTTCTGTGTAAAATTGAAAGACATGTCCTGACATATCTATTTCTATCTGTAAAATGGGAATAGTGGCATAGTCTCCTGCATTTGTTGTGAAGGCAAGTAGAAAATATTATAACATAATTTATGTGTTTAATTGCTTCATGTAATACTGAACTTGGTGGTCCTGTGCCTATCTGTAGGACAGCAGATATGGCCACCATTGATGGGGCTGGGGCTTGTGTGTACTCAGGGAGTACTTCATGTATGCAGAAAAATGTCCCCTGTCCCCTCAGTGGTTGAGCATACTTCCAACAGTTGTAGAATATAATGGGCAGTTGTTTATTAGCTGAAAGGAATAGGAAAAGAAAATTGGGGGGGGGGATTTGCCTGATTGAGTAACAGCTTTTGGGAACATGGACAGAGAGATAGTTTCTAGAAATCCTCCATCCATGTTTCTCTGCCTTCATGCCAGCCTACACGCTATGAACTTTTAAAAGCTAGTTAGGGCTGGAGAGAGCTTTCTCTGGTCTTAAAATGCACTTCCTGAAGCATTCCATAAGTGGTTACAACTAGAGGACAGAGTACAGTATTCTGAGCTAGTGGGGTGAAACTAGGATCAAGGAGAGCGTATTGTGAGGGGGCATCACCTCCCCCTCTCCTATACATCATGAAGCAGAAGAAAAAAAGAAGAAGAAGCAAAAAATGCTCAAGTTCAGAACTAGCTAAGCAACTTTCTGCTTCCATTATGCCCAAACCTTAACAACCTTAAACTATAGCACTATATTACTGAGGTTCACAACTAGGTGAGCCAAGCAGCTGTTCATCTAGCCCTGGAGTTCAACAGTGTTGTGACACTATGTTATTTGGGTAGGGAGGGGCTTCCTAATTGTTTGTCCCTCCCTCCCCTCATGGGCCTCCAGCTTGTATTGTATGTATGTCATGACAGTACAAGAGGTCTGAGCATAGGGAGCCCAAGCATAAAACCTTTCACTCACACTGTAGCTCACACTCACAGTGTAGCTCATTGGGTAGCTTTGGGTCAGTTAATTTGCAGCACTGTGTGAAAGAGAAAATGTGATGCTCTAATCTTGTATGAGCCCATGAAATAAGGTAGGAAGATAATCCAATAATTGCATGTGTTCTTGTCTTCCAATATTTCTAGTATTCAAGATGGTGCATTTGTTGAAGATGAGTCTGAGCTACAAGTTTTAGAAGCTAGTTCTGAACACCTTGCTGGGCAGTTTTCAAAGTCTCAGATTTCTTCAAGTGGAAATAAAGAAGGATTTGAAGAAACCCACGCAGAAACGGTAACAATATGCATGTACATTTTTAGCATATTGAATCTCCATATTCCAGCAAGATGTTGCATATTACTTTAAGATTTCTTAAAGATTTATGTCCTAATCTAGCAAGGGCAAATGAGTATACAATTCTGCACATGGATTGCCCTTGTGGATGTGTTTCTTTGCACAGATAAAACAATGCTGTGGTGGGGAGGAACTCTGCTTCTGCATGCATGTATGTATACACACACCAAACAGCTGATACTATCTTTTCTGTAATGGGCTGTTTGGTTGAAAATTAGTTCTGAGAACCTTTCCCCTACCACATTCTAACAGGTTAGTATTAAGAGTCCTGTTCAGTGGAGGAACTTCTCATGCTGAGCAGGTAGCATAAATTTCTGCATCAGTGTCATGTTTTTATTTATTTATTTCCATTTTTATCCCGCCTTGCCACAGGGTTGGCTCAAAGTGGCTAACAACATTAAAACACTAAAACAATAAATGCATTAAAATGCAATAGAATATACAAACAAAGCCCAAGCGGCTAACAATACTAGTGCAAATGATGGTGGCGTGCAATAAACAAAGGCAATAACCAGTCGATGTTTCATGTAGGCCGGGATGTACTTTGGCAGCGCATTCATCAGTGGCGCATTTGCCAGTTGCCCACTCATCAGCGGCAAAGGGAAAAGTGCCAGTTTGGCATAGTGGTTGGGGATGGACTAGGGAGACGAGGATTCAACATGCCCCCTTCCTTAAGGGCCGCTGAGTGACCATGGGCCAATCACCATCTCTCAGCCTAACATACCTTGCAGAGTTGTTGTCGAGATTGAATGCATTTGTCTGCAATTCCTTGAAGTACTTTGTCTGCAATTCCTTGAAGTAGGGGGAAAAAAATCAGGAAAAAAAATACTTTGTCTGCAATTCCTTGAAGTAGGGGAAAAAATCAGGGAAAAAAATCAAAGAAATAAGTATTAAAATTGAAACAGATGGAAGAGGCATACTTTCAACTGCTTAGTAGGCACAAGTTGTTGAACTTTGAAATTTTGTTTGGAAACAAATCATTGATACAAGCAATGCATGTTTCATATGTTTTACTTGTCTCAGGAGACATGAAGAATAATTAATGGGTTAATTCAGGGCTCTTTTTGTAGAAAAAACCCAGCAGGAACTCATTAGCATAATAGGCCACACCCAACAGCAGGAACTCATTAGCATATTGGGCCACACCCCTGACAGCACAGCTCATTAGTACATTAGGCTGCACCCCCATGTTACCAGAAGTGTGGTTATCCAGCCACACCCACCTTTTGCTTGTTATTCTGTTTACCTTGTTTGTTGTCAAAACCCAGGGCTTTTTTGTAGCAGGAACTCCTTTGCATGTTAGGCAACACACCCCTAATGTAGCCAATCCTAATGAGTTTCTGATGTTGGGTGTGGCCTATTATGCTAATGAGTTCCTGCTGGGCGTGGCCAACTTGGGAGTCAGCCCGAACTCCATTGCTGTGCGTTCCTGCCCATAAATAGCCCCGGGTTAATTCCATAATATCCTAAACAAGACTGCCAAAAGGAATTCTAGTACAGATCCTTCATAATTTGATAATTTATTTCTCTTCAGTTTATTAAAGCATAATGCTGTAAACTTGAGAGAAATATATCAGCTGTCTCTTTTTGTTGAAGAAGTTGGCTTTTTATTGCTGTCCTATCACAATAGCTAATTAAAGAAATCAGAAGCATTCGATAATTTTGTGATTTTGGTTTCCTTACAGAATGAAGTAACCGAGTTAGATAAACTGGATGAAAGGTCCTGTGTGCTACCGAGTCACAATGATAAAACTGAAAGAATGTGAGTAGTACAGTTTTTCATATATATAACTGTGTTAAATATTAAGACAGTAGAAATATCCTCACAATTATAGGTGTTTTGCGGTTCAGTTTTTTTCCGAATTTTTCTGTTTTTTTTCCGGGCCTTCACATCTCTAGTTGTACCGTAGTCTTTATAACAGACTAGCAGTAAAGCCCGTTGTGAAAGCAATACAACGAGATCTAGAAAGAGGCTCTGGGGGAGTGCTCTGGCTTTGGGCAAACAGTGTCAATTTGCTGTGGTGACCTCAGCAGGGTATAATGACAGAGTCCACTGTTTTCTCCAGAGGAACTGATCTTTGCTACCTGAAGAGCAGTTGTAATTGTGAGTGATCTGTAGCCCTCACCTGGAGATTGGCAGCAATTGTTACCCAGGACAAAGTGGCTGGTTTGGAGGGTGTAGTCTATGGCATTCTACCTGTCTGAGGTCCCACCCCTCTGCAAACCCCACCCTCTCCAGGCTCCACCCCTCAAATCCCCAGGAATTTGTCAGCATGTAGTTGGCAACCCCATCTCCTTCCCAGCTAACCATCAACCTACCATTATCTGCCCCTTTGACTTCAGCTGACTTCTGCCCTCCCTTCTGCAGAGCAGTTGTAATTCTGAGTGCTCTCCAGCCCTCACCTGGAGATTGGCAACAATGGTTCCCTATGTGGGACTGACTGGTTTGGAGGGTGGAGTCTATGGCAGTGTACCTGTCTGAGGTCCCACCCCTCCTCAAACCTCACCCTCTTCAGGCTCCATTCCTCAAATCTCCAGGAATTTCCCATCTGGAGTTGGCAACCCTATCAGGACTGGCCCCAATGTGTTTTCTCCCAAAGGCCAAAGTAGGTGACAGGACCAAGCTTAGTTGCCTACCAACAGGCACTGAGGGGAATGTAGGGTTGCCAGCTCTAAGGAGGGAAATACCTGGAGGTTTGGGGGGTGGATTCTGTAGAGGGCAGCATTGGGCGGAGCGGAAGGACTCAGCAGGTATAATGTCATAGGGTCTACCCTCCAAAGCATCCATTTTCTCCAGGGGAACTGATCTCTGTCATCTGGAGATCAATTGTAACAGTGGGAGATCTCCAGGTCCCACCTGGAGATTGGCAACCCTAGGGGAAAGTCAGCTGCACAGCAGGGGGTTGAAGAGAATGGTTTGATGGCTGCTGGGCCAAGATTGGCAACAATAGTTCCCCAGGAGCCCCATCGTAAAGACATTCCAACTGCCTTGTGGGGGGGGGGGGGTATGAGGGGGGGAATGGAGTGAAGTCCAATCAGCTTCCATATGCAAAAGACCTTGAAGGTTCCATATGCAACTGACATTCCAACTGCCTTGCACTCCTTTAGTGCACACTTGAGGTGTGGAATGCAGTGAAGTCCAATCAGCTTCCATATGCAAAAGACCTTGAAACACTGGGCGGGACTGCACAAAGCAGCCAGTCAACCCAGCCAGCGTCTTCTGACTGACAGTTCAAGCGTCCATACACTAAAGGAGTGCATTTTAGAACTTTGGCACCCACTACTCAATTATATATAAGGAGAGATCTTCTGTTGTGGAGGATGACGATACATTAGACTGCTGAAATCAGAAAACTTAATTGGGTCTTTGATTTTCATTAAGTGGGCCTGTTTTTGGAGGATGCACTTGATTGTGAAGACTGTAGATATCAGTGTGTTGGGGAAGACAGTATAAATATGTCCAATTTATTTTCAGAGAAACCGAGACAGCAGCTTCTGAAAAGCTCACAATCAAAGAGCAGCTGCAGAGACTTGAACCAAACTTAGTGAGAACTTCAGAAAAGTATGCGCTTCCAGTTGATAATGCATTAGAGAACCAGCTCTCTCCTTCAGAACCTGTGGGCGGTGTAGGAAAGGTATGATGAAAGAATTTTATAGTATATATTTTGCATTGTCTCAAACCCATTCACTTTATTTCCTTCTGGAACTTGCATTGATTTCGGTGATTAACTTTGTCTATCAGAGCGTTTGAGAAATTGTTTGCCTCACTGTGGACACTTTTGTTAAAAAAATTCTTCATATTTCTTTCAATTAGACTATTGTGGAAGATCAGGCAGCTAAAATAACTGGATCTACCAGAGATGAATTGACAGAAAGATCAAATAGTGATTTGGACAGGGTATCACAGTAAGTATATGGAAAATACATTTTTTCCCATAACTTTCATTGCTGGACACCTCCACATAAGTTATGTTGAAGGAAGCCGCTTCTATAGGCTCCCATTTAAGGTAGTCGCCAAATCAGGCATTACAGGAAAGGATTATTAGTCTTTGCTTGGATAGTAAGAAATGGAAGAAGTTTTTTTGTAGTGATTTTTGAGGGAAATTCTTGCTTCATGTGGAACTGATATCTTCCTTTTTGAAAAACGAAAGGTGGGAATAAATGCTAATCTTTACAGAAACTGAGTGATGAGAAATTATTCCATCTAGTGAAAATGGCAGCTATTTAAAAAGAATTTATAATTTTCACAATTGCCAGTTAGTAGTCTTACATTTGTAAATACTATAGAACCTAGAGTTTTTATGTCTCCCTCTTTGCTAATTTATTATCTTACCACTCCCAAATATTTTCCTATCCTGCCCATTCTAAATGGAGAATACTGTATAAGTTACTTCAAAGGCATATTTTGCTTATGCAGAGTTGGGATTTTAAAGTGTGAGTGTAAAAATTTTTGTTGTGCAGAGACACTCAAAAAGCTCCTGAGGAAAAGATCGAAACAAGAGGCCGCCGGCAGAGACCTAAACCTAATATTGTAAAAGCATCTGGCAGAAAAGAAGCTCCTCTTCAAGGGAAATCAGAGTACAGAATGCTTTGTCCAGAGCCTGACGGATCAGTGAGAAAGGTGTTTAGTATTTTATTTATCCTTCTGCATACCAGTTATTTCTCCAGTGCAACTTACATTGTTCTGGCCTCCTCCATTTTATCGTCACAACTTCCCTATGAGGTGGGTTAGGCTGAGATTGACTGACCCAAGGTCACCCAGTGAGCTTACATGGCAAAGTGGGGATTCGAACATGGGTCTCACAGATCTATCCCAATACTCTAACCACTGTAGAAGAGAAAGAGAGTTGGTTTTTATAATCCGCTCTTCACTACCCGAAGGAGTCTCAGAGCGGCTTACAATCGCCTTCCCTTCCTCTCCCCACAGAAGACACTCTGTGAGGTAGGTGGGACTGAGAGAGCTCTGAGAAAACTGTGACTGACCCAGGGTCACCCAGCTGGCTTCATGTGGAGGAGTAGGGAATCAAACCTGGTTCTCCAGATTAGAGTCTGCTGCTCTTAACCACTACACCACGCTGGCTCTCAATACCACATTGGCTATTTATTATTTGTTATTAAGTATTTATTTTTCATCAGAGATCTAGGAAAATAACCCTTTAAGGGTTTTTTATTATTTTTTTACTATCTGAAACCATTTACCAATCTGTGTATAAGGGTTTTTAAATTACTTTCTATAGTAGCTTCCAAGCAGTTTGAGATGCATATTGAGTATATTTGGGGCAGATGTTCACATTGATATCCTTAAGAGATAAGCAGTGCAATCCTGTGCAGAGTTATTCCAGTCTAAACCCATTGATGTCAATGTTCTTAGAATGGAGCAACTCTGCACAGGATTGCACAGGTAGTCTCAGTTCAGAAGAATGACTGTGCTGTGTTAGGTGTCCAAAATTTGCTCCTAAGATACCCGCAGTGTGTCCATCTGTCAGAAATGATGTAAACGTTCATATGCTTGCCTTGCATAATTCTGCCTCTTGAATGTAAATATTTGGAGAGTTGAAAACACAGAGTTGATAACATAGGTATATATTTATTGTAACCTCTAGAAATAAAATTTTACTTTTATTTAGGAATACAAGTCCATTTGGGGCAGGACATTGGGAATGTACGAGGGGGTTGCAATACACTTTCGTAGTATCCCTGATGCCAGTCTCTTTTTTGGTTACTTGGCTTTCACCAGATGCTAACTACATGTTGCCAGGCTTCACAACAATTTTACATGATTAAAGGAAACATTTGTAGGATGCCAGATAAATTCCTTAGCAGATTCCAGGCACATGTGATGAACAGACATATACATAGGATAGTATAGTTATGTCTGCAGTGTACCTATATTTTTGATCACTGATAAATTGCATCTAATCAGTGTATTTGAAAAGCTTTCACCTAGTTTACAGCCTTTGTAGTTCATTCCTGTGTTTAAGTTACAGTTAATGGTCATGGTTTGTTTTGCCTGGAAGGATGCAGCTTACATACATTTATTTCTGCTTAATTCTCAGAACAGTGATCAGGATGATGCAGTTGATGCCACCCCAAGGGAGACTACAGAAAAAAACTACCAGGTTTCAGATGCCAAATCTCTGTAAGTATGGCAAAAACAGGGAGATGTTTTGCTGCTTTGTTTTGTGTATTGTTGATAATGGGATTCATCTTTGTGTATGCACAGGCGCCTTCTGTTTCTGCAAGAAAGATCATAATTTCTAAGTGTTCTTCCTTTTCTGCTGCTGTTCTCCTGACCACATAGCATGTCATTTCTGAGAGGCCTGGTACTTGGAGATTTCAGAAACAGATGTCTGCTTGCACTTGTGTGGATCACATCCAATATGAATAGGAAAGATTGTCTTGCAGAACATAGTAGCAGCAAAGCAGTTCAGTGGGAAAAGATGGCAAGAATAGATCAAATGATATTTCTAGGGCATATCCTCCTCCCTCCCTCCAAGTGCTTCAGGGCAGCTTACATGGCTCATTCGTCCAGGTTTTATCCTCACAACAATTCTGTGAGGTAGGTTAGGTGTCACAACGATCCTGTGAGGTAGGTTAAGTTGAACAAAGCTGACTGGGGATTTGAACCCAGGTTTCCTGTATCCTAGGCCCCCCAGTCACACAGAGCATTTGCCACGCTGAAGGCATGATTCTCCCACAGAGTTTTCTGGCGCGATCACACTGGAACATCTGGGAGGCGTAGTGCTCCCGTGGTGAACCCGTGGCGTCCCGCCGAAGATGCGCAATTAAAAAGTTCCTGGGACGACCTACTAGCAAATGGTTTGCCACGGGCTGCATGCAGATTCCCCTGCTGTGATCACGCCAGCGTGCAGCTTTCTCCCCCGTCGTCCTGTTTGCTGTGGGTGCCAAAGGAGGAAGCCGCCCTCGCGTCTGAACACATAATCGCGGATAAAACTGCGATGGCGCAAATAGGCATGCCTCCCCCCTCCCGCGTTATCCGGCCCGTGTGACCAGGGTCCTAATCTAGCATCTAGCCACTATGCTGTCCTGACTTTATAATTGTTTTTAAAGTCAACAGGATGTATATATATATTTTTCCACTTGGACGGAAATACATTTTGAGCAAAGCATTAATATACTGCTTTAGTTTTTTCACATGTGTGAGTTTTCAGATACACTACAATATTATTAAATATTACATCTTTTTGCCTTTCTTCAGGCCAGTGGTTCCTCAAATTAAAGAATGGCAGACATACTGTAGAATTCAGGAATGCTACATGATAAAGGAAGATTTGTGAGGGAACTCATTAAGAAAGGCTTGCTTCAACAACTATAAAATATATAAGCAAATTAGCATTTAACCCAACTGCAATGAATATTTTAAAATTAATTCAAATAATGCAGATTGTAGGATTTACAAAATTTAAACTGGTAAGATGAAAACATAAGAATTGATCCCCACTGTTGCAAAAAAATTGATACTAGGTTTTGAAAAGGTTGCAATCCTAAGAACACTTTCCTGGGAATAAGCCCTGTTGAATAAAATGGGACTTACTTTCAAGTAGACTTGTTTAGAATTATGAAATGAACACATACTGCACTGATAATACTGCACATGATATTTTTTAATTTGGTCTTTCAGGATTTGTGAAAAATCCACTTTACAAGTAGACAGCAAACAGACTGTCTTGAGACCTGCCCTGCTAGCAAGAGGGCGAATGAAGAAACCCAAACCAAATTTAGGAGCAGTTGCTAAAAGGCAAGCAGAACCACCACGGAACTCTGAAGCAGGAGAAGAAAAAGCAACAGAAGCAACTGTGGAAACCAAGGAGACTCTAACACAACATGAGTGTAGCAGGAGTGACCTCCTCACTAAGCAAGCCACTGTAAGTATATGGAGTTGGAACTTTTCTCCTAATGGTGGTACTTTCCGCCAGCACAAGGAGTTTTGTGCCAGCAGGAAAGCCTCTTGTGGTGGAGAATATTACCATTAGTGAAAAAATTCTGTAGGATCCAATGAAACTTTCTTCATGTGCTTTGCACATTGGATGAATAACTAAACAATCCTAGGCAGAGTTACTCTAGTCTAGGTCTTAGACTGGAGTACTTCTGTCTAGGATTGTACACTTAGGCCCCTAAGGACCAGGATTCATATCTTCAGAGTTAGTCTCTAATGTGCCATTGCACTCATAAATACAAGCTTTATTCAGAGCTTTATTTATTCAATTTATTTATACCTTGCCTTTCTCCCCAATGGGGAGCCAAAGAGTTTTTCACCATTTTCCTCTCCTCCTTTTTCCCCTCACAATAACCCTGTGAGGTAGGTTAGGCTGAGAGAATGTGAGTGGCCCAAGGTCACCCAGTGAGCTTCCCTGGCTCAAGTAGGGATTTAAACCTGGATTTCCCAGCTCCAGCACTCTTAACTACTACACCACACAGGCTCTAGCAATTGCTTGTGACTAGGTAGTGAGGGCTGAAGAGATAAAAAATGATAAAGGTTTTTAAAGGTTGTGGAAGCCAAGTAGATAGTTTTAAAAATGGTATGGAAAGGGATTTCAGTCTTTCTTAATCACACATTCTTGTGTGCGTGTCTTAAGACTCAGAGCAACTTCTGCAAAAGTCCCCATCTCACTTCCTATTTGTTCGTATGCACACAGACTAGGCCTTGAATTCAGAACCTTGGACCATTTAGATTCTGCTGTACTTCTTGCGTGCACTGGGGTTCTTCTACCATAGTAGACAACAGATACATCCTTTAAGAAAGCTTATGCACATGGAACAGAATTGTAGCCTAAATTTCAAAACAAATCTGAGTGTGTAGTTTAGTTTTGTTTAAATATGATATGAGCAAAAACATCTGTGTATATTGGACTTCATAAAGAATTTAAAATTATCTGACTTATTTTTAGGCAAGATCTTAAAATCATTCAAAATATTGGACTAGCTACGTTAGCATGGTAGAGTTGCAAGTTTTTGAATTTCACTGAATATTTTTTTATGCATACAAGTCCTGTGCATTCTGAAAACTTTGCATTCTTATCCTACCAGCACAGTTTGATCCTCTAAATCACTTTGGAGCCTCGATAATTTTGTACCAGTAGAGCTGGAGTTGCTTTTACTTTTGTATGTTGTTTTCAGTTGTCCTTTTTAGTCTGCAGTCTTAATGTGTATTAAAGAACTTTGTACCCTTAGCTGGGCAACACTTGTCTAATGTCTTCAAACATTTAGAGGTTTTAGAGACTTTAATCTGTTTCCTAGGAGGCAACCAAGTATGAAATTGACGCACCACACTCAGAGGCATTAGAAAACAAAGCTGTTGCTACTCCTGATAAAGTGGGTTCAATACACTCAATCCAACCTTCTGTAAAGAAGCCGTTATGTGCGGATTTTGAGCTAAAAAAGACATCTCTGAGTGACAGTGTGGAAGATGTGTCAGAGCTTGTTAATCGGTAAGTTTATTCTTTTTAAAGATGGAGAATAAGAAGTAGAATAGCCACCTCTTGATAAAAAAAAACCATGCATGCTGTTTGTGATGTAGATCTCAGATCTCTTAAGGGAATACTGGAAATTGAATATGATGCGTTGCAGTCCAATGTGTTTGCTTTTCCTCTGAGCTACAGCCTTTCCCTAAAATTCTTATAATGACATACAAGCATGTATTGTTGATGTGCACCCCCTTCCCTCTGCAAATGTCTTTGATAATTTCCTCGGGCCCACGGCACAGTGGGACCAGGCAATTGTGTGTCCCCCACACTGCCTGTTTTGGCACTTGAAAATGTGTGTGTGGGGGGATTGGGATGCGACACAAGATCTCTTGGTCCCACGCCTTCTGTAAAGAAGCCGTTATGTGCGGATTTTGAGCTAAAAAAGACATCTCTGAGTGACAGTGTGGAAGATGTGTCAGAGCTTGTTAATCGGTAAGTTTATTCTTTTTAAAGATGGAGAATAAGAAGTACAATAGCCACCTCTTGATAAAAAAACATGCATGCTATTTGTGATATAGTTAGTGTGTGAATGGACATCGTAGCCATGTTCTCTAATGCCTTAAGCTTCAAAAGTGGGCTTTTTCGTGCTCTTATAGCCAAGTGCAGATGTTACCATAGGGATTTTACTACTTTTGGGGGGCTGCTATAGATTATGGAAGGGAAAAATTACATACATTTTAAACACAATATTCTTCCCCTGAAACAAGTGGAACATATGGAGCTGCCTTAATTAGACTTAGACCATTGGTCCATTTTTTCTAGTCCTTCTTGCCTTTGACTAACAGCGGCTTTCTAGAGTCTTAGCCCTGCTACCTCAGACCTCTTAAGGGAATACTGGAAATTGAATCTGATGAGTTGCAGTCCAATGCGTTTGCTTTTCCTCTGAGCTACAGCCTCTCACTAAAATTCTTATAATGACATACAAGCATGTATTGTTGATGTGCACCCCCTTCCCTCTGCAAATGTTTTTGATAATTTCCTCGGATCCACAGCACAGTGCCTGTTTTGGCACTTGAAAAAGTGTGGGGGGGGATGGGGATGCGACACAAGATCTCTTGGTCCCACTGTTCTACAATGTCATTTTAGAGAAGAATTTGGCCATTTTAAAATGTTCGGTCATTTTAGAGAAGAATTTGTCCACAAGGACATTTTTAAATGGCCAAAACCTTCTCTAAAATGGCATCGGCAGCCATGGGTCGGACCTGTGGTTGCCATGATGCCTAGCTTGGCATTGAGATCCTACAGAAAAGATAATTGGGAATTGTTAGAAAAAAGAAAATTTCCTACAACATGTTTTGTTTGTGCAATCATCACTGGAATTGACTGTTTGAGAATTACACGTGTAGTATAGATATGCCTATATTTGGTGTAGAGAGCCAGTTTGGTGTAGTGGTTAGGAGCGCGGACTCTAATCTGGGAGAACCGGGTTTGATTCCCCACTCCTCCGCATGCAGCTGCTGGTGTGACCTTGGGTCAGTTACAAGCTCTTTCAGAGCTGCTCTCAAGGGCAGTTCTCGAGAGAGCTCTCTCAGCCCACCTACCTCACAGGGGTTGCGGGGAGAGTAAGGGAAAGGGATTGTAAACTGCTCTGAGACTCTTTTGGGTAGTGAAGGGCGGGGTATAAATCCAATTTCTTTTCTTCTATATTGTGTGGCTACTTTGGTGCCTTTTTGCTGTCTTTTCTAGTTAGGGAACAAGCCATTTTAATATCTGGAACTATGTTGTTTAGTGATGTCTTTTGGAAAATATTGTATGTTGAGTTTTACCATGATGCAGAAGAGTTAGAAAATGAAAAGAGAGCCTTGCATTCCTTCTAGGCTATATAGTAACTATTGAAGTTCTGTTGTTCTTTCTTGGTCTACCAGAGATTCCAGCCTTTGTGAAATACAAAAGGAAACAGCTGCTGAAATACAACATTGTTTGGAGAATTTCACTCCAAATCTAAAGGAGAATTTAGGAGAGGCAGCTGAAAAAAAGGAGGATTTAGGACCAGAAAAAGAGATGCTTGAGGACAACCACTTGACTGGAAGGGCAGAAAAGAAAACAGTACACCATAGCAGTGAATATGGCAAGCTGTCTGACCTAGATGTAAGATGTTAAAGCTGCTACTTTTTAGTTGGCATTTAATGTTATTCTGGAATCTGTAAACAACCAGTTGCTGGTGAAAATAAATCCACTCATTTGTAGAATTGACATTTGGTTTACACTTTAAACTTTTAATACCCAGTTTTCACAGTTGGCCCTTACAGGGTGTTTTCTGTCTTGACAGTCAGGGTGCGGTCACATGGTCCATTTGATCGGGGTTTGCCGTTGTTCCCTCTCGTATTTAAATTTTCCGTTCACAATGTGCCAATCTGCCTCCCATGCCAAAGCAGGCTTTCTCCCGCAATGCTCCCGGGTTTTCCTGCCCCCGGGAAAATCAAGTGTTTTCCTGGCACTTGCGCTTTGAATGCGCGATTTCACCCATCTGGACAGCCATCTTTTGCAATGATTGCGATTAGGGCCATCTGACCGCTCTGTGCAGGTTTTTTTTTTTAAACTGAGGCTTTGAGCACTTGAGTAAGTAAGCGCTCATCCTGCTTGGAGAAAAGTCCTGCCCGCCGTCCCCAGCATGGAGGCGGCATTGAAAGTTTCTGGGGAAGCAAGCTGGGGGGCGGGCTGGCAGGCGAGCGGGCTTTGCCATCTGCCCCAGGAGTCCCTGAACCTGCGGCATTAGGAGGGAGGGAGGGAGAGAGCCCCCGGCACCAGGGAGCGCGCCCAGCTAGCCAGCAGCATCGGGCGGAAAGGTGCCTTTTTTTTTTCTTTTCATCAGGCCAGGGGCTGGAAAGTTGCTGGGGGGGGGGGGAGGTGGTCAGGCAGGGAAGGCGAGCTTGCAGTTCAGGGAGGGATGTGTGAACATCCCAACTCAGAAAAAAATATTCTGGTTTAAATTACATCAGGAACAAAGCGCAATTGCCTTGCTGTGTAATCACAGCCTCAGTTTGTATGTTTCTTCCCATGGTAGATCTGTGCAATGAGGGCTTTATTTTACTTTTTTTTAAAAGCAGCTCCTAGCATTACAAAGCAAATTGTTTTTGAAACTCTGTCATGAACGGTTACTTTGCAAAATTTATTGTGGGGAAGAAGGAAAGGAAGAGAGATAAATTAGAAGTTGTGCTAGGCATTGCCAATCTCGACTATATCCAGAGAAGTTTTAAAAACAGATAACAATTTAATTAAACAAAGAATCAGTAGCACATTTATAGGGACAGGATTGTAATAAACTCTTTACATAATTAAAGCAAAACTGAGTCACCTGAAAGTACTGGGAGCTAGTAAAACACCTTAGTTGATTGAAGTTTTCTTTTTTCCTTTGTTTCAGAATTAAAAATATTCTCATATGGTAAAAGGGCAAGTAGCAGTAGCTCCTGATTACAACTCATTTTCATAAACTTGGTGGTTTTCTATTTGGGCTGGCCATGCTACTTTTCCCAGTGCTTTGTGGATTCTTCTTTGACCATTCTAATATATTATAGGAAGGAACAAAATGTGGAGCAGTGCCATCCTCACATTTGTCAGAGGGACATTCAACAGATGCTCAAGAGGCAGTTGCAATGCAGGCAACACTTCCGTCTTGCCCAAACATTTCAACTCTAGACAGCGGTGACCCCCGTGAGGTTTCAGTGTACAGCGATAGCCAGGAAAACTCTTCACTTCGGTAAGGACCTGTTGGTTGTTGTGCAGGAAGCTATTCACAAAGCCCTGGAGATCTATGGCCCAGCTGGGTGGGGAAAAATCAGTTGTTTATTTCTCACTCCTCCATCCCACTTCATAATATTTTTGAGCTCCCAACTTGTAATTATTAAATATGAAAGCAAGCTAATATCACATAATTTGATTTAGAAGGAATCCCTTTAGATATCTGAGGACTCTCTAACAATAATTTTGTAACTATTAGCTTCTGCTTTCAAAAAGCCCCTTTTCTGTTTAACTAATAGATTTGTTGGTTAACTTGTCGTATGTGGGTTCTTTGATTATATGTCAAAAGTAGAGAGCTGTCATATATGCTGCTTGCTGTTTCTCCAGCAAACAGAGCTCACAAGAAGACAAGCAAAGTGCTATCCGACCAACACCACTTCTCAGAGGCAGACTCCAGAAACCCAAACCCAATATAGGAAGAGCAGTGGGAAGGAAAGAGATACAATCTGCAGAGAAGAATGAAGCAACAGCAATGATTTTAGGAACTGAAAAGTCAAAACTACAAAAATCTGAACCTACCAGAACTTCTTCGAAAGCAGTAAGTACTTGGACTGTTTTTGAACAGTCCAGCAACAAAGACATTTTGAAATCAAATATGCAATATGCGCAAATTGTGTCTTAGCATACTCTGCTATTATAGGTGTTTTACAGCTGTAGTGCATAGCCTTCTCCAAGGCAGTTCCTTTATTCAGAGTAAATTTTGTAAAGCTGCTGCTGCCAGCATTATATGTTATTTAATATTTAGTTCTGTTTAATTAACTTCATTGATTTTTGAAGGAATCCAGAAGCTTCTTGTGGAGTTTTTAAAATTTATTTGAGGAATTTATATGCCGCCTCTCCAGAGAGCTACTCAAGGTGGCTTACATGTAAAAATGATAACTTAAGGCCATAAAACAGTGGCCTGTATCCTCCCACTCAGCTCAGCCAAGTTGTATTTATTTATTTAATTTATACCCTGCCCTCCCCGCTGAAACAGGCTTTGAAGATGAAGGACACTTCCTCCAACTCAGGTGGCTTCTCTGTCAGCAGAAAGGCTACTTAAATTGGAAAAAGGCTTCAAACTTTGTTGAACGGGGTGGGAGAGTACAAGCTAGTGAAATAATCAATAGGCATAGGCATAAAACCAGCATAAAATAATCATTGAGCAGCCTAAAAATATCTATAAAACAGACCACAACCTTTTTCTTTTTGAGAGCCTTTATTTGTCTTTAAGAAGAAAGAAATAAACACTGTGGTGGTGGTTAGGTTTCTTTTTCAGAGATGTCCACCTAGGGAAGCCATAAGAGCTCCTTTTGCTTCTCTAAATGGGTTTGGTCCAATAGTATTATTTTACTTGCAAAAGGGCTATCTCACACTGTGCACAAGAGTGCTGGGTGAGAGAAGTTAAACTAAATCCAAAGATGCCTTTCTGTAAATTCTGCTGGTTCAAGCATAACAGTTGCTTTATAACCTACTAATTATGGCATGGCATGAACTTTACTGCAAACATTTACAAAACTGTGTTAGTGGCTGTTTGCCTTTAACCTCTCAGTCCTTTGGATCCAATGTTTATGTTTATGTCAGATAGGGGAGGTGCTGTTCTCCTTTTAATTACAGTGATTGGTCCTGTAAGACTAGATTTTGGAGAGGTGCTAATCAATACACTGTCTGCATATAATGTAGTGAATATTGTTACCATCACAATCCTAAACAGGTCTATTGAGAGTCCTACACTGGTCTATTCACTGGGGCTTAGTCCCAGGAAAGTGTTTTTAGGATTGCACTAGGATTGTACCTAGTTTTCAGGATGAAGGCTCCTTACCTGCATGAATTGGATTTAGGAAAAAAAAATTGGATTCTGCTGTGCATCTGGTCATGTTCAAAGGATTTTGAAAAAAACTGTCAAATAAATACAGAATATGAAGAACATAAGAGAAGCCAGAGTTGGATCAGGCCAATGGCCCATCCAGTCCAACACTCTATCACACAGTGGCCAAAAATACCAGGTGCCATCAGGAGGTCCACCAGTGGGGCTTTATCCCCTTTATTATTTGTATTTACAATAGAAATATTGAATAATATGGTAAGGGCAGACCCGTTGATTAAAGGCTTGGCAGTTAAAGGTGAATATTTTAAAATCCAGGCGTACGCTGATGATGTAGTTTTCATTTTGGAGAATCCAGTAGAGTCGATTGAACAACTCCTGTACAATATACAAATATATGGCCAAGCAGCAGGTGTTCCCCTTTTCTGCACTTTTTCCAATGCCATAATATCCTTTTTGAGGTGTGGTGACCAGAACTGTACACAGTACTCCAAATGAGGTCGCACCATTGATTTATACAGGTGCATTGTGATACTGGCTGATTTGTTTTCAGTTCCCTTCCCAATAATCCCCAGGATAGCGTTGGCCTTTTCTATTGCAGTCGCACACTGTCTCGACATTTTCAGTGAGGTATCTACTACGATATTAGTGGAATATTAGTGGAATTTCTGCTCTTTCCCAATAACAATTTTGATTTGTATTTTTAAATAACACGTGTAAAAGTTGAGCTTATTGTTGCTAAAACAGGTTTTCACATTTTAAAAATTCATGTTGCTTAATATTTCCAGCTTCAGTTAATGCCTGACAATAAAGTCTTACCTGCTGAAGCCTCAGAGGATAGCCTGTTGGACTGTGAGAAAATGGCTCAGGAAGATTCTCAAGTGCCCAGTACCTCTCAGAATACCTCAGATTATTGTGCCATGTGAGTTCTCAAAGATTGACTTGTTAGTTTACCATTTCATCCATCCCAGTGTTCTGTATGCAGGTTAACAAAGTGTGCATCAAAATAAATTTCCAAACAAGTTTCAGGAACGTATATATATTAAGGTATATATAATAAGGTAAATGTCTTAGGTATCCTCCATGTTAAGTGTGTTACTGTTCCCAATTAGAGTTTGGTACTAAACTACTTTAATTTTCAGTTAAGGATAAATTTCAAGGGCAATGGAAAACGATCAGAGGATGCAAGTTGTCCTTATCATCAACAATAGTGAATCTGAGAGCTGATTTAAACAGAGAGAATTTAAGCCTCTCTGAAATTTGAGAGCTGATTTAAACATTGTTTAAATCATTGTTTAAAACACTGCAGGCTGTGGAAGGTCAGTAGTTCAGCAGTTCAAGACCCGAGTTGCCGCATGACAGAGTTAGCTCCTGTCTCTAGTTCCAGCTCCTGCCAACCTAGCAGTTCGAAAGCAAGAAATTGCAAGTAGATAAACAGGTACCACTTTGGTGGGAAGGTAACAGCGTTCCGTGTGCCTTGGTGTTTAGTCATGCCGGCCACATGACCACGGAAACGTCTTCGGACAGCGCTGGCTCTTTGGCTTTGAAACGGAGATGAGAACCGCAACCCTAGAGTCGGACTCGACTGGCTTTCGAGCAAGGGAACCTTTACCCTTACCTTTTAAACATTGTAGCTTTCATGTGGAGTTAGCAAAATGTGTTTTGGTTTAATGTCTGAAAGCCTCTTACTGCTTGCATCAGTGCAATTGAAGGCAATTGGCATTACTGTAGACGTATTGCACCATTATTTTATTTATTTAAAACATTTTTATGCTGGTCTTTCCATCTGGTCAGGGCTCCCAAGACGGCAAACATAAAAACATTTGAACTGTTAAAAGCAAAGTGTAAAATGATAAAATCATTCAATAAAAACACAAACATATTAGGCTGTTACATGTGATAAGGGGCTTTCAAATGTAATGTCTGCTGTGTGAGGGTCTACTATGTAGAAGTGCTTTTCAGTGGCTCAGTCTGTTGATGCTGGGTTGGAAGGAACAATTCTCTCATCCAGCGTGATAGAGAGATTACAGTGTGTGTGAGGAAAAGAAAGTCAAGGAGGTGTTTCTGCCACAGGTAGTGGTTCAGAGTTAACCTGGGCTTTGAAGCCTCCTTGGAGGGGAAAGGGGAGCAGAGTACCATTCTCTGCAGACATTGTTTGCTGCTGTGGTAAGGGAGCCACTCCAAGGCAGTTAGGCTTCTGGCCTTTAGCAAAGAGCAGTAAGCAGACTCCCTTGGCAGTGGAATCTCTGACTCGGCCTGCTACTGCTTCTCTCATCTAACAGTTCTTTCCAAGATTCAAAACAACTTTGCTCGAATTGGTTCCGCTACCACAGAGCAAGGGTTGTCCTTTGGCCGCCCTAGATTTGTCCTCAGTTTCAAGCTGGCTGTGGCTGAAATAGGTACTCAGAGGTGAGCCATGCTGGTTTTGGGAAATACAGCAGTGTTGGCTTGGTTTAGGAGAGAAGAAGCAATGGTTCTCTTCTGCCTTCTTCTGTGAAATATATTATTTCTCATATCCTGATTATTTGTTCAAAGGTCTCCCATAATGGGAGAGAACATACAAACCGACATTTCCTAGTAGAATGGTCAGCAGCACATGATGATTTGTTTGTTAACAATAAGCATATCTCATTGTGTCTAGCAGTCTCCTGTGGTTATACCACTGCTTTGTATTATATACAACTGTGTGCATTGTTAAGAACAGTGTTCTTCAAGTGCTTTGAATGAGAATTTCAAACTAATAAAATTAATGTGCCTTTTTTCTAAATTTACATTATAAAATACAATGGGCCCTTTATAGATGTATGCAAGTGGCTATTTGAACACTTGTTGAATAATTTCAGTCACTTTTTTTTCATAAGAATAATTCCTTCTTAACTGTAGGGA